GGTATTACCCCCAGGCAGCCAGACAGGTAGCACTCTAAGTGATTTGATTTGCAAAAGTGCGCTGCAGCCTTCGCTTAACCTTTTGATGTTTTTATTTGCTTTTATGAACTGTTTTTTTTTTTTTTTTTGCTGTAAATTTGTTTCACTAATGAAGGCAAAAGGGCATGGTGTGGTACAACGACAAATTATCTGTACACAATTACAGTCTTAATTTAATTACAATTACACGTATTTAAACAATTTTTTCAATCTCAAATTCAGACTGTGCAATTGAATTAACTCATTGGAAACTATTACTGATTTCATTTAAAATCAAAAAACACAGTCAATCCTTAAAACTATGAGGGGACGGCAATTTCTTGTAGCATTTACCGTAACATTAGCCTTATATTTGAACCTTTCTGAGAGAGCGCCATGTTCGCTCAGTAAGCGCGTATAAGCTAATCTGCATGAGAATGTTGCCTGCTCTCATCCGCTGTTAATCTGATAACATAATTATGTTAACATCAAGGGACTGTCTCCAGACCTCAGATCTTTTGTCTAAATTTGATTAAAAAGTGGTTCAAAATCGGTTAATCCTAATGAACAGGCGAACTAATTTAACTCTTCTTCGGTTTTCTTCTGCGAATATGTAGAAGGGCGTAGTTTTATATTCATTCGAGATCGATATAGAGAAATCATATAAATTGGAAGCAATCAAAACGGACCGACTTTGCTTACCAACTACTATACTACAGTAGTTCGTATTTTGTGCAAATTAGGTAGTTATTGGCCTTTTATTAAATCGTTTTCTGCTCATCTTACAACCTTGTATTGACAACAATGAACAGTGTTGTAAAATTTCTAAAATCTAAAAAGCAATGCACAAAACATATCCCTTTGCTTACGTATTAGTGAACGGCACACTTCAACCATGATGCATTTTCACAAAAAATCCTCAATTGAGATTAGTAAAGAATTTTCTTTTTTCGAAAATTTGAATATTTTAACTATATGTGTAATGTGTTGAAAGTTGAGCTAAATTGGAGCAGATTATCTCAGCATACAGAGCAAAATTGTAAAAAAAAGGAGTTATTTATGTATTTCCCCCACTGAGCGTTAGTTAGCCAACTACTAACAGGGACAGCTCGTTTTTCTTGTTGCTTTTGTTTTTGTGTACTGCTCCCAACACTGACAAAGTCAAAACATATTGAAATAGCACTGTCAGGTCGTTTTTAACGTAATTGTTTTGGGAATGGGTGGTCAAAACAAAGTGCGTAAAAAAAACATTTTGAATGGACATCGAACTAAAATTGTATTCGACTGCATGGTCAGAAACAAAAAGAGCGCAAATGAGGCAAGTAAGGCAGAGAAAAGAGTTGTCTCAGACAGGCGTAGTAATCAAATTAATTTAATTTACGTATTTACGACACCCACCTAGCTGTTGTTAGTTCTACCTCTTTTGTTACCCCTAAGTGTAGGCGCATTAAATATGCATGGAAATGCATGGAAAATATGTCAACTGTCAGGTGGCAAGGAAATCCGATAATTGCTGACAGACAACGGCAGCAACCTCGTTTATAATTGATCAAAATAAAAATAAAATTGACAAGCAGGCAAGTGGCCCAGTAGAAGATATATTGGGGGGTGGGACCAGCCCCCACACTGAGTCATAACAGCGCGGGCTTGTCTGTCTAACCGGCTGTCTGTCTTTGCTGAATAAACAAAGAACTACTGAATAAGTAGAAAAACGAAGGCAATTTTTATTTTAATAATGCATCGAAAAGCCAGCCCAAAGAAAAACGTCACACATTGTGCAAATGAAACATTTGACAAATCGTTTCAAGTAAGTTATTATCTTAATTCTATGAAGATTGTTTAGGTTTGGCCATTAATAGGGAAATGTTTCAAAATTGAGAAATGGTTTCAATTAGAATCGCATAGAAGAGCTTGCATCATAAATAAATACAGAAATTAGCTACACTATCTTAATTTGCTTGCCATAAGACTCGCGGAGAAGCTAAAAAAAGCAGTATTGTGGAAATAAAGAAAGTAACAAGCCATGTTTTTGGCGGAATTAAACAAATTGTTGATTCAGATTTTTATATTCCAATTGCAAATCTGGATAACTGGGGTTTGGTTTATTAATGTTTTTTATTTTAAATTTTTTTTTTTTTTGACTGTTTTTTGTTTTTATTTTTAAATTCGAACTTCAAATGGAAGAAAACTGGTTTTGCAGCCGATTAACTCCACTCGGCTTTTGAACAACAAGAATGCATTTCTTTTGAGCCTGCAATGAATATTACTGTATTGGTTTTTTAGCTAGGCCCATAACAGAAGCGATAATTGCATTTAAAAATGGTCGACAAACGTTTAAGTTTGTAAATTCAGTGACCATTAAGTACAATGTATCTCCAAATGAAACGAAAATAGGAGCATGCTTAAATAAGCCTAATAGTAAGCAATTAACAAATTTATGCAAACAAACCCAACATAATTACTTCATTAAATATTTCATACGAATGTACATACATATGTATGTACATACTAAGTATGTATATAAAGTAAATATCTAATTGAATTCGGGGCTGATAGGAATTAGCATAAATTGGCACATCGAAGGCATAAAGTTTAAATATGCGCCACATGCGCCTCAGCCGAAACTAAATTACTTTGGAAATACTTACATATATGTATGTATGTATTTACGATACACTATAGTATGTGTGTATAGACAAAATAGACAAACATGTAGACCTCCTAGCACCCAGTCAAGCCAACCAAAGATACACAACCACAACAGCCAAACCAAAGACGGACCCACAAATAAGGGAGCAAGGAGGCGAAAGACCAGACCAGGCGACAACAACAGCAACAACAACAATAATAATAACAATGAACAGCTAACAAATGCTCGTATAACATGGCCAACAGAACATTATTAGGCTCAAATGAAACCAAGTGACTATAGGTTTGGTTGCTATTATTGGTGTAGTAGTTGTTGTTGTTGGTGTGCTGTTGCTAAAAGTGTGGAAAAATCGAAACTAAACTAAACAACGACACGCACTTAAAAGCAAAGACGAAGGTGGCGACGATGCAAAAGAAGAAGAGAAAGAAGTGAAGGCAGACGACAACGACGACAACGAAGCTAAAGCACATGTATCTAATGGATACAAGTAACAGCAACAACAGCAATCAGGCGGTACAGAGCAAAGATATTTTGTGTGTGGCTGGCACACGTTGCAAGTAGAGAAGCAAGAAGGTGCGCTTGCTTATAGGGCGCGTACTTGAGCATGACAATGTAGTATGTGTGTGTGTGTGTATGTGTGTGCTAGTAGGTAGATAAAATATGCCCACCAACCAACAACAATCATGGACAAGCAGCACAGGCAACACAAACGAGAAAAAAAATGTATCTACATCTTATTTGTTTTGCTTTTTGGAAGTGCGGGGTCACACAGGCGCGCATTTCTTTACAATTTACTCGTGTGTCTGTGTCTGTTTTTGTGGCGCTATATTGATGTATCTGTGTGTAGAGGCAAAGACGTGCGCTTTACACTTATGCGCCACCACTTCATGCCACACTACTTTTACCAAAAACAAGTAAAAACAACAATATAGCGCCAACATCATTTCCATGCGTGCTCTTCTCTCACACGCATCACATTTGCCACCCACAACAGCCTCCCATCACCTACAGACACACACGCACACACATATACATACACACCCAACTCACCCACTCTTATACTCTCTCACACTCCCACAACTCTGAGATACTCACTAAATATTTGCGGATAAATGGTGAAAATTTTGACTGCTTTTTATGCACTGCACAACACGAATAAACGAATGAACTTTTTGTTCAGCTTTGATAGCTTTTTCTTTTGTTTTATAATATTTATTTTGTATAAATTATATGGTTTGTTTAGATTTCTAATACTGTGGAGACACCAAAACACACACAAACACTTTGGCACACCATAGGTGGCTGCTTGGTTAATTGCACCAGAGCCTGAGGCATTAATTAATTTGTTGTTTTATCAAATTTACTGCCACATCAACAGCGACACTGACACTGCCACTTGACACAAAATAAGCAGCAGCAGGAATACAAGCTTTAACACCGACGGCTTTTGACAACACGATAGCGCTGATGTTGGCGATTAGGATGCTGATAATTATGATGTTGATAAAGGAGCACGCGGATGTGCGATTCGTAGCAATCATTGCGGCTCCGGCACGTACGTAAGACTATTCGCGGCAAGTGGCACAACACATTTTTATATCCCTTTATAGCATTGTGGACATCGACATCGTCGTGGTCCTTTTCGTTGTCGTCGTTAACATCCCATCGTGCTTCTCGCCGTAGTCGTCGTCGTCGTCGTTTAAAGTTCGCTCGCGCGCGCTTCTCGCTGCTAACGACACAAACGCAACGCTAAGAATGAGAACAACAAACCAAGGAGGTTGCCATCACCGTCGCCGCCATCGAAAAACAACGGAGATGGTGGGAAAAAAATTATACACAGCTCAGCGCACAAGAGCGCGGGAGAGTAAGCGGACGACGACGGAGACGGCGCAACGATTCGGTATGGAACAACCAAAAAGAAGAAGAAAAAATCGAAAATAAAAACTGAGGAAAAGTCGCAGAGACATGAGAGACGTGTGCGGTGCACCAAACACGTAAAATCACTTAGTCCCAGAAGAGCGCGCGCAAGAGCGAAAAACAAGCGCAACACCAACAACAATGTGGACAAACAACGTGCTGCGGCATTCGCTGGCGTTGCCAGATTAAATTGACAGCAACACGCACTCGCACACACACAAACACAACGTTAACAGATCCAAGGAGCAAGGCAATTGCGCTCCGCTCCTAACTATTGTTCTCGATAACAGGTGGTAGTGGTAAAGTTGCAGCTCTCCCACTGCTAGCAGTTGCCATTTTTTGATAAGGGTTAAAATGGAAAGTGGCACCGCTTTGGGACACATGTTGGTATATTTACATATGTATTTTAGCTTACGTGACAAGTTCCATAAAGTGGGCATCACTTGTTATAATCATTCGACAAAATCTTGTTTCAATTGTTGGAAATGGTTTACCTGTAAGTAGAGAAAAAAGCTTGCATTACTTTAAATATGCTATTAATATTTTAATTCAATTATTTAACTAAATTAATTAATAGGTTTTGCATTCTGTACCCTTTTATAAAAAAAGTTGTTTAATTATTAGCCATTTATCATTGGTTGATATCATATGTATTTTTGTTTATAAGTAATTTGATAACTTAGTGAATTCTCTAAGGCATAATTTGTTCACAAATATATCTGACAATTAAAAAAATTCAATTCGCTTCTTGGCTATTCGAAAGCGTTACACTTTGCCCTCGAAATCGCTTATGCGTGGGATCAAGCCTATTTACAACTTGTCTTATTTGTATATATGTAAGTCATTATCATAAACTAAAAGACTACGCCTAATAATGCAAAGGGGAAAACAGTTCAGAGTTCATAAATCATTAACACAAGTGACTGCCAACCTTGGCGGCTCAAGCAAAAGCAAAAATCTGGCAACATTCCGAACAGGCGACGTGCTGCTACTCACACCAATAAACACTCCGCCAAATACATATGTCAAAAGTTAAAAGTAATCGCATAAAAGGCGGCCAACAACAAAAACAACGAGCCCAACCATAGGCACACACACATATAGCCACATTCCTAGATTGGATACCTGCAACGCATACTTAACGAAACAATGGGCATGATAACTGGCCCCTATACTAACCTATGAAAAAAGAAGAGGAAATACTTTTTGGCCCCAGGAGCGCCGACAAAGATAGTAACGTTTTCGACTTTGCCAGCCTAGAAGCTTAATTTCCATGATTTTTCCCATTAACTCAAAACAAATAGATGACGTGCTTACTCTCGCGCTGGCTCAGTCTCTCTCTCTCTTCTCAGTCAGTTGCCTTATCTAATAATGCTTGGCGCACTTTTTACTATAATACACAAAAAAGTTGCCCAAAAACAAAAACCCAATGCATACACGTGAAATATTCAATTCGAACGAGGCAAAGGGCATGAAAACGCGCTCAAAATAAACTCAATGTGGCGCAGAGAGCGCGACTTGGCGCTCAAAAGAGCGAGAGCGCAGCAGCAACCACCACCATCATCTCAACGTTTCGAAGTCCAAGACTCGACTACAACAAAAACAACCCTAGAAATTTATTTAAGTCTGCAACAACATAAATTTGTGCGATGCATTGAATCAAAATATGGATATGGATTATTTTGAAAATGGGGCACGCTCTAGGGGGGAGTGACAGTTAAAAAAATTATAAAAAGCAAATGGCTGCGATGCTCTACATAAGGAATGAAACGAGAAGAAGTAATCAGGGCCAGCATCTACAGCCGCTCAACTCAACTCAAGTGGATTGAGATACAATAGCGTGAAAAATGTTCGATATTACTTAAGGCAACACACACAGGAAACGCACAGCGAGCGGTGACGAGCGGCACAGGAAGAGATGAAGATGGAAGGGCCCAGTAGGGCAAGGGGGGCGATGTTGCACCAAAAAGTAATTTGCTTTTGTTAGCTTTTTTGGGTGTGCGTGCGTCTGCTTCCTAAAGATTTTTTAAGTGATGGCAGTTCGGGAGCTAATCAAGAATTATGCACAGCAATGCTAATATCGATGTTTTCAAAGCGTCGAAATTACACTGTAATATGGTCTTTATAATTATCCAATTGATGATGATGAATGAAAGAAAACAATACTGTTCCTGTTGCAAATCGTTAAATATTATAGAGTTAATTTCTAAATTGAAAACATTGTTTGTATCCATTCGAAATACCTTAAACAAAACATAACAATAACGAACGACATGTAATACATTTTCTAGTGGAATGTAGAATGTGTGAGGAAGCATCTCAGAATGAAACTTATTGTAAAGTAACTTCTGAGCTACTTATTTCATATTCATCAGTCTTTTTTAAAAGATATATTTCTAATACAGTTAGTTGCCATGCATCCGACCCGATTGATTTGATTTCGATGTACAATATCATTGAGTTTTTCACACCACTAATGTTTGGAGTGGAAGCATAAAAATGATGGGTCAGCAATAAAAGTCAAGAGGAAAACTGTGTGTAAAATAAACAACACAAATACTTGTAGAAATACACAACAGATACACAAACAACAATTTTTAAAACCTGTTACAAAGGGCAAGACACGACACATCAGGCATTTACACAATTGTTGAATTTGGTATCGGCTGTCGATGTTGCCGTTGTTGTCATCACACGTCGTCTTGTGTTTGTTTGCCTTGCTATCAGAAATCAAACACATTTAGTGTGTTTAAGCGCAGTCTGTAGAGTAAATATTTCAACGCCATTCAATCAAAACACAATTAACACATTTGCATGAGTGTGTATTAGGGTGCGTATGTAATAGTCTCGTATCGCAAAAGATAAACTATACACATGCATATACATACATATATGTATATGTACATATGTACATATATCTCAAACAATGTCAATAATGCCAACGGCATGAAACGGCAAAATTATTCCCAGGCCGAAACCAACGCACAGAAATAAAGTGACAGCACACACCTTAGTAGTTGTGATTGTTTGATTACTTTTGTTGTTGTTGTTGTGGTTGCTTTTATTACCGTGGTTAGTCGCAGATACAGATACAACTTCTTGTCACAGATACACAAATACGCACACACACACACACTCAAAGTCCCGAAAAAAATCGAAGAAACATCGCGTGAGACTCGGATACATAAAACAAAAAGTAGCGACAAAAGCTTAATAGCATCGTCGATGTTGTTGTAGATGATGATGGCCAACAACAACAACAGCAGCAGCAGCGAAGCCAGAGAAAAGACAGCAAAGTTTGGATAATATGTTGCTCATTCGATACAGTTTTCTGCCTTGACATTTTTAGTCTTGAAGGAAGTTGACGTTGGCTTAAAAGTTCGAAAAGATGATATGTGTAACGACGCTTTTGTTGGGCTGGTGGTTGATTTTTCTTCGTTTACCTTTCTGGCATAGACAGCTCTAACAATTAAGCACAGCAGTTCCTTTACAGTTCAACTTTTGTTAGTTTCAGTTATCCCACCTAGAGGCATGAATATACTTTGCTAGGAAGCTACATGTTTCGACATTTGACTTGAAGCCACATGTCAATCAAGAAGACATCTCTAAAAGTTTTTCAGTAAATCATAGTGTGAGGCTTTGGCAAAATGGTAAATCGTAAGTTAAAGCAAACAAAGCCTTTAATTAATGAAGATGCCTTAATTAAGTAATTTTCAATCCATTTCATAAATCCTATTCCAGTATGAATTAATAGTTAACAGTCTAATTATCAAAATCTTGATTTGTATTCTGCACAAAAGCACCAGCACCCATAACAATTGTTTGTTCTGAAAGCTAAACAACAGTCATTTTGATTAGCCACGCATTCCATTCAACTATTCTATTAATTTGAAAAGAAAAAGCGGCAGACAATCACGTTTGCAACATGCATTATTGAAATGCATTTATCAAATATTTTTTACGCTCATATCTCATGGGCAGCTAACAAGTTCAAACATCTGGCAACCTTCCAGACAGCAGGTGGCAGCTGCTGTTGCTGCACACTCACACACACGCACACAAATTGTAAGATGCAGTGAAAGACGAGAAGGAGGAAGAGAAGAACACCAAGCCGAGATACTGCCCCTGATAATAATGATGAACTCACAATGAAAGCGGTGTTTGCGTGAATAAATGAAAAAAGAAAAATGCACTATCATAAATTGCGCAAATACGACAGCACAAGGTGTAAGCAGTCGCAATATTTTGGCGTGTGGAACAACAACAAAAATTGCACAGGTAACAAGAACGAACACGAGCAGCATGCCGGCAAAAACTAGTGAGCGAATGAACGAGCGACTGAATAAGCGAAGCTGCAAATGCCAATAACCACGACCGCAACAACAACAACAACAGCGCAAACAACTGCAAGTGCACTCTCGCTCTCAATGGCACGCACGTGCGCTCGCTGCGCTCATTTTGCGCGCTCATTGCGAATTGCAATGCAAAGCGGCTGAACAATAAAAATGGCGTATCATTTTTGTTATACTAGGTACGCATTTTAATAAAAAATAAATAAAAAGTCCGTTGCCAATCACCTAGTCACATTGTATTGTATTGTTTTTGGTTTTGTCTCACATTTTGTTGTCAATGGCCGCACAACTTTTAGTTTGTATTGCCGCCTGTAAGCGCACACAAACCGAATGGGAATCAAATTGTTCAGTGAGTTTTGTAGTTTTTGGGGTTATGTTATGGATTTTCATTTCTAGTTCCATTTATTTGGTCAAAGTATCAATCTTTATCTCTTAATATTTAGTTCGTTGCGCTGTGCTGCATTGCAAATTATTATTTTGTTTGCGTTGGCATTTTTCCATTCCTGCTGCCACTGATAAGCAATGGATGCGCCTGGTTGGACAGCAATGTACAGAGGATGGAGACGGCGCGGGAGGTACGGAGGTTATGCACCAGACACGATTTTGTGCAATGTGCTGTCAATTTCGCTGTGTGCGATATTTGATTTAACGAGCTTTTATATGCATTTTTGGTTGAAGTACAACTAATTGCCGCAAGCACACATACTCGTGCACACGAGTATTCGTATAAATAGTATGTGTTAACATATTTTGAAGCACCAATTCTTTTTTAATGGTTGAAATATCCATCCCCTGGATGTGTATTATTTGTGTGGCTTTGAAGTGATTGTGGCGGGATGTAAAATACGGATTAAATATTAGACATAATTACAAATCAGTCTATGCTGCTGTTATAAAATCTATTTACTAATTAATTGGAACGAGCGAATACGCCAACAGCAATAAATTATTGTGAAACTAAAAACTTAGCATTTTGTTTACACAGTATTGTAGCAATGCAATAAACAATAATCACGCATGCAATAAAATATAATCTCTTATACATTCGTACCCATCTGGAACACATTCTTCTTTAAAACAAAAATATTTTGTAAATATATAATGCTTTGCTATTTCGATTTTTATAAACCAGACTTTAGAAA